GTGATGTTCGTGCGCGGTGGAAACACACCCTCCGGGCTGAGCAGCGCGTCACGGAACGTGTTGCCGGTGACGACGATGTTAAGCGACCCCACAGCGGCGTACGCATTGCCCAACAGTAACAGCACGGCGCCGTCCCTCCACGTGCATCCATCGAACGTGACATTCGCCACGTCGCCCGCCATCGCCCCAATCAGCACCGTCAGGCTCATGCCGCCCCCGCTGAACGTCACGTTGCGGTAGCACAGCCACGACAGCCCGCCGCCCACAGACTGCGCAACCTCGGGGTACACCAAGTCGCTGATGCACTCACCAACCGGCGGTGGTGGCGGCGTGGGTGTTGCTGGTGGTAGCGGTGGCGGTGGCGGGCCAGCAGGCACAGGCGCAGGGACGCACACATCGCCGTGCCCTCCAGCAGCGCACTGGCACTTGCAGTCACTGACCGCCGTAGTCAGCGGAGCAAAGCAGTCGCCATCCTTCGTGCACTCCCCGCACACAGCAACCGTCGTCACGTTGGTGATGCCGTGGAGCTCCAGTTCTTCCGCCGTCGTCACCTCCCGTCCCGCGACCGTCAGACACCCAGCAACAAACCGGTAGCCGGCGTCAGCCCGAGATAGCAGGGACACCGGCAACCCCGTCGAGCCCATCTTGCAGCCCGTCAGCGTCAGCACACTACTGCCGTCGATGCTCACAAAAGCGGAATCAGTGCCGTATATCATTGCACCCAAACCCACGTCGTTGTCACGCCAATCCAACCAGCTTGACTGCTGAACGGTCCACAAGTTGTCGTTACAGATGGCGTAGCGCACGGAGCCGCTGTTCCCCACCACGCGCAACACGCTGTGATCCGACACGCTGAATCCGTGGCGCAGATAAAGAAGGCTTGCCCCAAAGGCCATTGTATTGTTGAGCAGCGCAAAAACAGAGTGATCGTGGACACTGAGGATATGCATGTACAACAGATGCATGTATTCCTCGAAGCTGCAGTACCGCACATAGAGCGAGCTGCCACGCACCAGCTTTAACGCTCCTGTCGAGTAAAAACCAAACCCGCGATAACTCGACCCATGCACCTTGAATTTACTGGCCAACAGCGAGGACGCACTCAAGACAACTTCGTGCAGCATCACAACACTCAGCATGTTGCTCATAATGTCCGGCAGCTGGACGACAGAAGACTGCACCGCATCTATCTCCGTGACGGCAATGTCGCAGTACTGCGGGAGAGCACGCATAAAAGCAACGGTGGAGGAACGCATCACTGTCTGGCTCACGCGGATCAGGACGCCAGATGACTCCGCCGCCTCAGCACCACCAACAAACTGCAGCGCGGCACCGCCACAGAATGTGCACCCAGTGAAAGTGATGTTGATGGGGAGATGCAGCGGCATACTGTTGAGGAAAAACGTCAACACAGCACCCACGCCGCTGAATGTCACATCCACGTAGCAGTGGTGCGTCTTCCACATCTTCAGCGTGAGGCTCGTCAGTGTCTGGTTCACCACGCAGCTCGTGTCGCCGTCGACGGCTCTCTCCGGCAAGGGCGGCACGACCGTGTCGGGCACCTCGAGGGGAAGACACGACGCGCCATGCCATCCGACCCTGCAGCTGCACGAGCACGAGCTGCGGTCCACCGACTCCGTCCCGGGCATGTAGCACGCCGCGTCGTCGTTGCACGTGCCACACCTGAAAATCACCACTTCCTCCGGAAACACATCGTCGTACGACACCTCCTCATCGCCGTGCAGGTTGCACCCAACCACAAATTGCGCGGGCGACGCCACAATCGTGTTCGGTGGAAGAAGTTTGGCAAAGACTGCACTTCCCTCCACCTGACGGTTGTTTGCAAGCGCCACGGTGGTGCCACTGTCTGACAGCCGAATTTTGTGCTCGGGACGCGATATACTTATTATTGAGGCTGCACTTACGTTGTTGTCCGTCACACGCCACTGCGCACCGCCCTCGAGGGTCACCGAGCCAGACAAATACACCAGCGCAGGATCAAAAAATTCAGTACCGCCAGCGAAGGTGCAATCCGCCACTCTCAGCAGCCCCGCGGAGCTCACGGTGGTATCCCCAAAAAGAATAACGCCATTGACCGAGCTCATCGTGTTGTTCTCCACGTCAATGTAGCCGCCGTTCTTCACTCCAACGGCATTAACGCAAACAGATGATTCCACACCCTCATCTTCCTCCGTTGTCCTCAGCGTATTTCCCTTCACAATGATCCCGCCACCATCAACGACAGCAACAATGGTGAAACAAATTGCGTACCGATTCCCCTCGATGCGGTTGTCAAGTAGCAGCAGCGTCGAGTTCGCACCGAGAAAAAACTTCACAAAGGAAATGGCGTGGCTCGACGTCGTCACAAGCGTGCTGCCCACCACCAGTATCTGCGAGCTCGCACCAAAATCACCCTCAAACTCCAATGCACCAGGATCCAATACCAAGGATGTCACGTTCACGTGCACTCTCGCACCACTTCCCTTGATCGACAGGCCTATGAGGACGCACTGCAGCAGCGTGATGTTGAGTGTTTGTTCTGGCGCGTCGAAGCTCCACAGGTCCAGCACAATCGCATCAGTAAAGGTCACGTTGACGAAGCACAGACCACGCACACCGGGACCAGGATATTCCACGGAGCTGATGCTGCCACCGTGCACGCAGCGGACCTCCGTGTCCTTCGCGTCGGGGAGCGGGAGCGGCCCAAGGCCGTCCGGAACCGCTGCTGGCAGGCACGTGTCACCGTAGCCGCCAGCAGCGCACACACACTCACAGCCGCTGATGCTGCTCGTCCTCGCTGCAAAGCACACGGAGTCCACGGTGCACGCGCCACAGTCCAACACCGTCACGGGTGCTCCAATATTGAGGTCTTCTCCGTAATTCGTCACAGGAGAGCCCATTGCCTCGTTGCACACGCCGTAGATGGTCGGGCGCGTGTCGGATGGCGGTGACCAGTTGCTTGTCATACTTACACTTGTTGACAAGTACGAGCCGTACGTCAAGTTGTTGTAAAGTATCGACCACACACTCCGATCGCAAAATGCAACGCCGTAGTAGGCAGCCACGTACACAACGTAGGCGGTGCGAAACTCGTTGTCGCGGTGCACCAGCCAGCTGCCGCCAGTCACAGTCAGCGTGTTTGCCATGAGCATGGCGAAGCCAAGACGGAAAGTGCTGGACACAACCTGCAGCACGCTGCCGCCATCCAAAACAACACCCTTGAACACGCACGAGCCCTTGTGGAATTCGGTGCTCGGCGCACTCCACGAGCTGTTCTGTATGGAGAACACGGAGCCGCTGCCAACACGCAGTTCCGACGCAAGAGCGTAAATCACGTGCGTCCGCGACAGGACAGCGCAGTTGTCCATGTAAAAGACGCTGGACTTGTTCACGACGAGGCTGCGCTCCACGAGGATCGCAGCGCACAATTCCCCGCCACACACCAGCGTCGACCGCGTCATGACAAACCGCGTCGACAGAAGCCGGACACCGTCCAGGACAAGCACGGGGCCGTACCGGGATCCCGCACGGCCAGGAGTCACCGGCACGTACTGCGACCCGCCAACCGTCGCGCGCAGCGTTGAGTTCGCCAGCAGTATACTCGAGTGCAGCGGTATCGCGCCATGCAGCACAATCGTGCCCTCCAGTGAAGTCACATTCGTCATGTTGACGAGGGCGTGAGGTTTCGAAAGCGCCGTGCTCTCGCTGAGGCCGCCAATCCGCAGCTGCGACCCGCCCGCAAGCACGCAGTCGCGCAGCGTCACGTTCAGCGCGTCAGCGAACGCATCCATCGAGCGCAGGTCCACCGCCACAGTGATCGGCCCGCTGAACACCACCGAGTCGAAGCACGCCGTCGCCTGCCCACCGCCAACCGTCACCGACTCCGTCAGCGTCACGCCACTCACGCAGCCCTGCGCACCGCCACCACCGCCGCCGGCCCTCGCAGGCGGCACGTCGAACGGCATGCACGCGTCGCCCACACCGCCGGCACGGCAGCTGCACACGCAGTCGGAGAACGACGCAGTCAGCACATCGAAGCACGCCAGCGCAGCCGCACAGCCGTCGCACGGCACCACGCTCACGGAGGGCAGGCCGGCCATGCGATAGTCTCCGCTGCTCTGCAGCACCCGGCCGCCGGCACGGTTGCACTGCACCCACACGACGCCGCTCGTGATCGTCGGCCCGGAGACGAGCGTCGCGCCGGCGGCAGTGCAGCGCGCAATCGACACAGCGCCGCCGCTCAGCGTCACCCCCGACAGCGACGCCACAGACGACGCCTCGCCCACCGCCCACACGTCGCGCAGCTCCATCCACCCGCCGTCACCGACCGTCCCACCGTCGCAGCGCACCAGCGACGACGCAGCAGACCCCTCGACGGCCACGAAGCGCAGCACCGAATCAAGCACCGCAAGGCGCTCTCCGAGCACAATGCCGCCGCCGCTGCTCACAACCGACACGTTCGTCACGGAGAACACCGAGTGGCTCCGCAGACTGAGGCGCGACGAGGACGCCACACGCATCGCGGACGCGGTCGGACCGCCCGACGCCTCCAGCAACACGCCGTCAAGCACCACCGCGCTCGACAGCAGGTCCACACCGCCGCCAACGTACACCGCCGACCCGCCCGCCCGCGACGACCTCAGCACAGTGTTGCTCACACGCAGCTGCGACTGCAACAGCGACGTCGCGTGCAGCACAAGCGGCGACGCCACCGCGTCCGTCAGCCCACTCAGCTGCGAGTAGCGCATCGGTCCCGCCGTCACAATCGTCGAGTCACGGACCGTCACGTTCGTGTGTGCCGGCAGGTTGTCCACAAACACAAGCGAGCAGTAGCTCCCGGACAGCCCGCTCACGCTCACCTCCAGGCTCCGGTCACTCGTCGGCTCGCCGCTGTAGCCCCGCACGTAGATCTGCGCACCGCCGTCGCACACGCAGTTCCTCATTTCAATGCGCAGCGCACCGGGAAGCATCGCAGCGACGTCGAACACCACAGCCACGCCGTTCGTGATGCACACGCCGTCCATCAGCACCGTGTCCACGGCGCGGCCAACCGTGATGGCTCTGTCCACCGTGCCGCCCCGCAGTCGCAACACCACCGCATGCACCGCAGGCATCCACGCAGCAGCAGCAGCCAGCGCCAACGCCAAAAGAAGCGCCACACGCACAGCTGCAATGGCACTGCGCCGCACACGGTGCCGGCTGCGCGGACACGCACCCACCGAAGACCACATCCACCCACCCAGACAGGTACCAATAGGGTTGTCGTGGTGTGTCGCACTCGCTCCGTCGACCGTAGCACCTTTCTAATAAATCCCTTTCTACAGATGGAGAATCCAAAAGCACAAATCCGATAGATCGCTATACCACTACTAATAATCCTAATACTGCCGCGAGCAATAACTAATACCTTGAAAAGTTAATTCTGCTGGTCAAGCCGAAATAGCTCTAACTGCACGGTCAGAGGGGAAGAAGGCAGAGGCAGCAACAACAGTAACCAAACACAGTGGCACACAGAAGCATCCGGCCACGGACAGTCCCCACCACAGCCACCGACACAAAGCCGCGCAGACGCAATCAAATCAGTGACGCCATCGCCCTCCCACCGCCCACACAGCCCCACACAGCCACCGTGCCAAGTAACAGGGTCCCGGCAAAAAAAAACATGACCATTGGCGCCGCTAGTGTGACCGATGGGTCGGCACAGCACAAGAAACAGCAAAATCAGACGCGCACGGCATACACAATGACGAAATGAAGAATAAAGAAGCACGGCGGCAGTACGCAGACACGGGGAAGAAGGGTCCACATCAATTGCACAGTCCGATTGGCTCGCAGCCGTCCGAATGATGGTCGCGCCGCTGCCGCGCGGTGCGTGTGGCCTGTGGCTGCTGTAGACTGAGAAGATGATGAGGGGGAAGAGAGATGCGGTGCGGTCCTCATCCATCTCGGTTGGTGGTTACACTAGTCACGCCATCCCCTCAGATCGCCTGCTGCAAAGACCGTCACCGTCAGCAGCGGTCGGTGCCTTCCTTCTCCACCGACGCCATCACGCGCCTCCTCCCCCAACAACACAACGGGGGAGCAGCAGCCACACGCAACTGCCACCACAGAGCGCAAGAGGAGCAACCAACTACACTGCAATACATATATCGTGTAAGTGTCTCGTCTCTGTGCCTACGACCACAAAAAAAAAAAAAAAAGCATCTGAGGGGACACACAACCACACAATAGTGCCAGACAAAAAAAACAAACAGAATGACTGCTGAAACGCAACACCGCACGGCTGCCCACGCTGTGGAAAGCCGCGGCACACATGCTGAAAAGTAAAAAGACGAGGATGTATTCGTCTTCCATTATGCATTCACTCAAAAACAAGAAAAAACTGCACGCTGCTGCGTGACCTCCAAATCGGTGTGTGTGTCTCGCCTGCAGATAAGAAATAAATAAATATGTTGCACTCCTTCCAGTCGTTTAAACACCAGGTGCCCACACATTATTTATATTCCACTGGGACACCCGGCGCGGTTTCGTGCCCCCATTCCATTCTCTCTTTTATTAGCCGGCGCCATCGGCGTGGCACACAATGCCGGGAGCGTCTCTGGTCAATCAAAAAAAAAAACACTCAGTAGATCCCGTAATTTTCGGAGGACCACAACACGGGGTGGAAAGAAGAAAACAAACAACAACCCCGCGGTGCTGGTGCTGGGGAGAGCATGCTTCCACATGGAGGAAAAGCCCTGCGCAGCAAAAAAGAATCTAAAGTAAAATAAAATGGTCAAAACAAAGTGTTCACAGAAAGTGGCAATTACTTTGAAAGAGCGCGTGGAAAGACGCATATGTTCCCGCTGGAAGCAGGAAGTCCTCACTGCGATTCCTCAGTAAAGAGCTACAAAGCCGCTTAGCCCCAGCAGCAGAAGCACCCGAGAGACGCCCCCACGCATGGAACCGTCACCGTTTCCCTTTTTTACCGTCACTTTTCCTGAGCATTTTTAGTTCACCGACACTCAGTGGGCGGTCGTACAGAAAGACGTTCGTCACCGTCACGCTGCTGTTGATGTCTCCCTCGCCTCCCCAATTTAGAGGAATGAGACTTCAGCTTCCGCGCCCCAACTGTTGGTATCGTCTCTGGGCTCCCCACAAGCCGGCCATCCACGTACACGGATGGCCTTGTTGCCGTCTTGAAGCGTCAGCGCCACCTGATATTCTCTCCCCGGCTCCCAATTGCTGTCCTTTGCTGTCTTTGTGCCGTCAAACACCGTCTCCCACGCTTTATTCATGCTGTACGGCAGCCCAATGATCTTCTTGCCGGGACCGTTCCCAGACCCGCACCCAGAAGAAAAGTACTCTTCTTCGGAACCTCATGAACGATCACCGTCGCCACAATAGTGAAATCGTAGTTCACAAAGCCGTACTGGTTATTATCCTCCCGGCCGTTCACGGGCCATGTTGTCCCGGGCCCAGACCCCGTGAATTTGAACCCATTTTTGGCCTTCGCTGCTTTTGTCGCAATTGCATTCACGCAACGGTGCTCGTCGATCCACGTGACATCGCCGGACGACGTATTGGACAAGAATCCAACCAGACCAGCCGTGGGTGTGGACGACTCGGAGAAAGAGGCATCCAGCTGCGCCCAAGTGCTGAGGACGGAGTTGATCGTCTTCAGCTCCTCCGTCAGGCGGGCAAGGGATATGCCCCGGCGCGTTCCCACAATACTCTCTCGTGAAAGGTGCAACGCACCATCCGAGTACAGCAGGGCGTTGGCAAGCGTCTCACCCATAGCATTCTCCGCAAAAAGCGGCCCAACATGGAACGTGCGGCTATTGTCCGTGACCCAAAGGCAGAGCGCCTTGTCACTTTACTCCCCCGAGGCGTACCCTCTCTGAGTGTACAGCATCACCTTCCTTCCCCCAATGGTCGCAGCGATGAGGGCTCCCACACGCAAACCTTCGTCCCAACGGACTCTTGAGTATTAAATGACCCACACGCCTGAGAGTGTCCCGATGGCCTCCGTCCACGTTGTCCCCATGTCACGCGACTCGAACACACTCTGGCCTTCAAAACATTCAGCAATCATGAGAATCTGTCCATTCGCCCATTTGGTGATGCGGGGGCCAAGGCATTCCACAGAAAAAATGCCCTCTGGGAACACCCAGTTGTTCTCCTTGTCCGTCGAATAATTGATCATGGAGAAAGGTTGATTTTTCCCGTTCCTCGCACTCAGGGAAAACACAAGCGTGTCATTCTGCATCACAATGCCTGAGCCACCAGCAGTCACAAAATCCTTCATGTGGCCTTGAGTGTGTTTGGAGATCTGTTGCAAGAAATATTTGGATTCCTCCCAGTTGATCATTCCACTCGGCTCGCCGTCCTTGGGCTGCGTGGCCACATCCTCAACCAGTTGAATAGCTGAGTCACCCGCCGCCCATTCCTCATCATCATTGTCGTACTTCTATTCACAGATTCCCGCAAGTGGAAACACCTTATTGTCCCCTGCAATGGATGCGGGCCAACAAAAAAAGCGCAAACGATCATCGCCATTCCTACTGCCAAGCACGGTGTCTGCCCTCCATTCCTTCTTGGCGATCTCAGCGACAATGGACAGCCACGTCTCCGCAGCCTTGATGTACCCAGCCACAATGTCGGAATAACGAGTCCCAAATAATTTCTCGTAATGGCCGTTATATTCTAGGAAGCCCTCAGCAAATGCAATCATTACCCCACCAACACGGACAAGTGAGGGTGAGACAAATGCATTCTTCACCCCAGTCTTACCAGTCCCATCTTTTGGCAACACCTGCGTCTTATTCGGCACAAAAATATCGACCCATTGCGGCAGCTGCACACCCCCTGGCTTGCTCTCCACAGCGTGTGCACCTCCACTGCCGCAGCACATCATAATCACGAGAAGGAGGAGCAGCGGCGCAAAAGTAAACACATACCGGGACATGTTAGGCCTCTGCGGCTCACTCTCTCTTCCTTCCCTCCTCCTTCAGCTGGATCCGGTCACGCGGTGACGGTTGTTTGTGCGGGGTGCATTGACAGCAGCAACACGTAACTGCATATAAATATGTGTGTGTGGGCGGTGTGCGTGCTGTTGGTCCTTTCAGAGTCTTCGAATTTCAAAGTAGCGATTAGCGCCTGATTTCCTAGCGTGTTTTTTTCAATAAGTGAAAAGGACAACGACAGCGGCAAAAAGACAGTACAACAGCAGTACACACCGCTACCACTCACAGCGAAACACAACATCACCATCCCCGCAGCCATTATTCACAGCACCCCTCAAAAGCATAAAAAAAATAACTTCAAAATGTGAGCAGCCTCCCAATGGAGGACCGCAGGCCACGGCCCTGCAAATAAGACAAATGAGAAAGGGCCACGTGTGAAGTGAAGGACACAAGAGTGGCACTGCAACGACACGGCGGCGTGACAACCCGTTGGGTGTATCGATGCAGAAAAGCACACCACTTGCAGGAAGAGTTGCTTCTCCCGCTGAGCAGAGAGGGAAAACAGCCCCAACGTCCCAATGATGAGGGGTCGCCTGCACCTCCTCGCGGCACCTGCAAGCTCTGCAGGCAAAAAGATGCAGGTGACGCTCTGCTGCACGAATGACGGCCGTCACATCCTTCACAATGTCAATCGCATCCTGTGGCACCACACGCCGCAGTCGATGCGCACAGTCTCCGTCTCCCTCCTTTCCCCCTCCCTGAGAACTCATCGGTGGCCGTGGCATACCCACCGACATGTCAGAAAGTAATTGTTTTTCTTCTTCCCTCGCACTACGCACAGCAGCACCGCCAAACGCAGGTCACTCCTTCTTTCGTGGATTCCCCTCAGACACGCCTCCCGCCACGTTCATCGGCTCACAGGCACACAGTCCGTAAACGCCACGCAGCCGTCCCGCACGATGCCGCCGCGCACACACCAACACGGCACCCCGCCACTCGGTGCAAGCAGTGTCTGGACACTCAAAACAGGTTGCCCCAGTCCACGACAGCCCCCTCTAAGCAGTGAGGCAGGACTCGTCGCTAACAATCAAACAATCAGCCCTTCGTCTCCTCACCCCGCCATGCACAAAGTTCTGCCTGCCCCATGCATCATCCGTGACGCCCGGACCTTCAATCAGCAGACAAGGCAGTATGCTCCCCTCCGCTCATTGAGAAGCCCATTGACAATCCTCAGCCTGTCGTCTCCATGGGCTGTGCATGAGGAGCACCACGGCAAGAATGCACAG